ACAGGTCTTGTTCCTGGACCCAATCTAAAGATACCAAGATTTTCTTCAGAAGAACAAAAATAAAACCAGGAAAAATATGATGCGTAGGTTTGGGAGGATATCGATACAGATTGAGTCTGAAAAATTAATCTCAATTACCTAATGTGAATTAGTAAACAGCATTAAATTTTTGTCTGGACACTCTGTCCACAGTAAGCTGGCCTTCGATTCATCCACAACTGAATATTCAAGATAAAATTAATCAAGTCAACGTTAAGTAACAGCATCCACACAAAAGCTTAATGTGATTTTCATTTAATAAGTGAATTAAAGTAACTGTTCTTAGAGTCTCTTTGTAAGTATAAGCCTCTTGTTTCCACCACATCAATATACATGCCAGAGGTACATTAATAAAGTCCCCAGCCTATTAATATACTTCACTTTCTTCTATTATTTATTCTCATCTTGAAAAGTTTTAATAAAAGGCTTAAAGTCTTCCTAAAAGGTAGAAGCTGTCTGCCTCAGTTCAGAACTCAGAGAGTGGACATGGTGCTCTTAACTCCGTCTGCAGCAGCTGCTTCGCACAGACAATCATTCAAATATGAACTAAACATTCTGTGAACACAGCTCATTCCCTCGCAATGGTTTCTGTACGCCTAAGAGATGGGCCTTCCTTCTTGGACGTGAATTCTTCTCGACTAGGTTGAAGAAATATTCTCCCAACCAACTGCAAACCAGAGCTATAACCCGAAGACATCCTGCGGCTGCCATTCAAACGACCCTGCGTACCCGTCGTGCCCAGTCTACGGTCTATCAGCTACAGCTTCCCACAAAACTCCTTGGCTTGTTGGCCATTTCCAAGCTGCATGAATTATTCTGCCGGCAGGAGCCCGTTCCTGGTCATCACCTACACCGTGACCCACAGCTCCTTCCTCTTACACGCAAGTAGCCTTGGCACAAACTGTGCTGCAAGCGCCACTTCATGGGAAGGGGTTGTGGTAACAAATAAATACCATGTGTCTGTGAATATACTGCAAAATGAGATCCCTTTTTCCTGTTCATACACAGCACCTCCACTTGGCAATGCGAAATTACTACTAATGCTAAATTATTCATTTAATTTATTCAATATTGGATAGATGTCAGGAAAAAAAATATCAAAATATAAGTGCTTCAGAAGAGGGACCTTATCTTCACGTAGGTCACAAAAGCAACCACAACCAAATATGGCATTATAAAAATAAACCATGATTTTGACATACAAAACTGTATAGAAAAACTGTGCCAGTTTCCTATGTAAGAAAACGATACGTAAAATACTCATATTCTAGCAATTAAAAAAAGAAAACAAGAAACGGTGCCAAGTCACCTGAACTTGAAACTTGGAATGGGCTTTATTAAGCACACTTCCAAAACCAGAACAAGAATGTCGTATAGGAAGCGTGCCCACCAGCCAGAAGAAACACTGCCCCAAAGCTGACAACACAACTGGCAAGGAGAATGGATCAAGGGGCCTCACATCATAATTTTTACTTTTACCACTAGAATAAGGACCCAGTTAGCATTTCATTCTCTGTTTCCCAATGATGCGATCAGCAACGAACAACAAAGGGGGACCAGTTCTTTTTCACTTTTCTTACCTATTAAAATGAAAAATGTTAAGCAGAGAGGCAATAACAATACACGCAGGGACCTGGCTTTTAGAAATTCCACAGAACTAAGGGATTTTGTGGATGAGATGGCTGGCTGCAAGTTTTCGGCTGTAGCACAAACCCTCCCCTCCCTTTCCCAACAACCCACTGTCCACAGTAAACCATCACATCTTTTTTTGAAAATTAGAATTTGATGTACACAGCAGAAAACACAGAAAAGCTAAACTACCAGGAACTGCAGGTTTTCTCCTTTATGGTTTTTTTTTTGTTGTTTGTGTTGGGTTTTTTTTTTCTTTCTAACGTTAAACTTGATTTGCTGTATGTCTTAGACTGAGACTTTTACAGTCTCCCTAAAAATCAACTGACTCTGAAGCAAGCTTTTATTAACATAAGGGTCTGGAAGAGGTATACAGGGACATGCTAGGCAGCATTAAAAAACAAAACCAAACCACTATGGTGCCCCCTAAGTATACCCAGAAATGATGTTTCAAGTTTGTTATTTTATTATTCAACCAGATTTTCAGAGCAGCAATAGATTTAATACAAAAAAAGCTAACTGTATGCCAAGTTTCTTCTTTCTTCGAATACCTCAAAAACAGGAAAGAAAAAAATTCAATAGATTTGCCTTGAATTTAAACAAAAGGTAGATCTAATGCCAACAAAAGTCACTACAGAAATGACTACACAGCACAATAAACACTACGCAGAGACACCCCTGCTTGTTCTTCCATGGTTTTGCCTTCCAACGCACCCAATGTCAAAGGCTGTGTGTACAACAAGCTCTCCTTGCCAGGTAACCCAGCATGGAACTCCACAGAGATTATTTACCTTGCTGAGAGGAAAAAAATCAACGCCCAAAACAGCAAAATAAAAAAAAAATTAAAAAAAAAAAAAAAAGCAAAAAAGCCACACACCATATCAGCAGGAGTCCTGCCACTGTTTGCATCAGACTTTCAATCAGGTCCATTATAACTTAAAATATCTGGGCGCTCTAAGGGCGGTAAAGGATTTCTTCTTGCTTTCAAAAAGAAAGATTAGGGAAAAATCATGACTGCCATTTACTGACACTAGTGAGTCTCTTTTCTTCCCATTGGACTGGTTTCTGATAATCCTACAGTGAAGTGATCTATTGCCGGGAACTATTTTTGCAGTGATACCAAGAAATTCTGTTCTGTTACTTCACCATATTTAACTTATCCCTAGTAAGCTCCCTGTTTAGTATGAAAACGTAAACAGCAGAAACCTAAAAAAATTTCTCTTACTGGCAACCGATACCTTTAAAATACAGTTTAAAGCAGCTGTGGCACGGTTCTACTGGTTTCTACACAAAAATCGGCTATATCTCCCCTTCCCATATACACTGACCTTCAGTGGTTTCCAGTGTCAGTAGTGCCTTTGCTTTAGTTTTTTTCCAAACACAATCCTGTAAGTTTTTACAGAACTGAACACCTGTGGAGTTCATGGGCCCTTGGGATGAGACATGATGAAATTAAGCTATTTAATCAACCACAGAGAATAAAATAGTTCATCGAAACAGGTCGGTGTTCCCTGTTTGCCTTCACAGCACAAGTTTGCAGTTGCTATGCTCTGGTGCAGCATCACTCCACAGTAAAATGGTTTTTCACTACAACCAGCCAATAGATGACGACAGCATCAAAAGCCACCTCTTGTTTCGTTCTGCTTTGTAACGAGATCGGCTTGATTGGCAAGGTACCACTACATAATGGATTAAGATGATGTTACTTACAACACGGGCTTCAAACAAAATTTTGCCTTGATGTTAAATAAAGAATACAGGATCCTGTGTTAAGTGCTGCTTTCCTACTGTCAGCAGCTGAGGTAATGGTTCTCAACTGTTTTGCTATTGCTGTAGCTAGAACACGCGGTGTGATTCAACGCCTCGCCTTGAATCATCCCTCCTGCAAATATCTCAGAACGTACAATTTGCAATCAGTCAAAAATAATACCAATTAGAAAAAGGGTTTTGCCGTTATCTTACTGCACCATTAGACCTAAAGTAATGGTCTGCTACATCATATACACAGGATTTTAATTTTAGTACCTGAGCAAACCAGAAAAACTTGATTATAATACAAGTAATCCAATAATATGCAAATACATCCTTCAATTTAAAAAATAACCAATTAATTTGCTTTTGCATAAACATTGTTTCCCTTAAATTTATACAATTATAAAAACTGTCTTAGGGAGGGATTTCATTAATATCTATAAAGCATTGTGATTTAAGCAGCTGTGTTTATTTCATTTAATTCGCATTGCTCAGCTCTAGGTATTATCCTTCTACCAGAGTACGAAGGAAAAATATTACTGTCCTGAAAATGGCATAGTCGATTCTCAGTTCAACACACAGAGTTCCACAAAAAATTCTTTCAAGTATCAGAAGAAAATTCAGCCAGACGAGAATACAATTTTTAATGTCAAAAACTCACAGTGAGAACGCTTGTGAACTGCGCAGTACTGCTAAAGAGTTCTGACATAACAGATGGGATGTCAGAATAAGACCAACTGGTCACTAAAAGCGAAAACATAAATGACGGACATTTAGTTTTATTCTCTGAAATACGACTTCACCCTCAAGATCTTCATGGCTTTTGCTACATTTTAGAAATGGTTCATTTAGGCAAGTGGAAGCTGTGGATTCACTGGCCCCATTTCAGTGACTATGACTGTAACCAACCAAACCCTTTTTTTGGCTGTCTATAGATAAGCATAGTAAACACATTAATTGTCAAATTAGTAACATTTATTAACAGAGAAGACTCGTAGTTATCTCTGCTGCCCACAGTCATTGTTCATTTATAAAGACAAAAGAGAGGAATAGCTACTTTTGTAGAGTTTCTTAAAAGTATTTTCAGATTATAGTTGATTTCACTCAGGGGAGAGGGTGTAATTGCAAACTCTTCATCAACAAAACACATAATGGCAGTGTAAATTATTTTAAAAACCAGTGCCAGTGAAATGATTAGTTTTATTTTCATGTTTATGGAGAAGTACAATTTAATACATGTGCTGATCCTCTGAATACCTGCATCTGGATACCTGGCTGGCAGGATACTCAACAGAAACTAATTCTTAGTACTTCTACTTCATTCAAAGTGATAGACTGAATCTTCTCACATATATCACAGTGTAAGTTAAGTCTGAAATTTCAAGAAAAGACAAAGTAGCCGCTATATGACATGTTTAACACCCAACAGAGCAAGCCAAAAGTCCTACTACCAGTGAGTAGATACTTGCACCATCACAATGGTTATCTGCAATTTCTCCAAAGCAACCAACACATGCTATGATATTTTACTGTCTTCATCTCGTTTACAACTATCACATTAAAACAGCAAAATAACTTACCACTAGGGTTAAAAGCCATGCAGCAAATAGGCTTTTCATGGGCAGGGAAGTGGGCCACAATGCCATCGCTATCGGAGTCCTCACTGACGAGCACCTGCATAATAATTATAGAGACAAAGGAAGGTTAGGAAGTAAAAACACACCCCAGAAAACACCAACTCACTGATACAGGAATTGTTTTAAGCTACACACAGTGGTATGAATTAGAAATATAGCTGCATGTAAACTAAACAGAAACAATCTTCTGTAATATTTTCTGATAGAAACACATGCCCAAATAACCTACTATTAACCAGAAAGAATGATGTACTTTATACCTGGATTCCCTACTTATTTATCCTATGCAAATAAGGCAAAATGAAAAATTACTGTTCTGCTACATAAAGTATTAACGGCTGCAGAGAAACTTATTACAGAAGTCTGTACACAGTGCACCAGGATGCTACATTTGAGGTTTCCACTGCTGTTGGCTGAAGCAAGGGTTGTGACCTCTCTGTATGTCTGTAAGCAAGAGGGGGTCCATTACTCTTGGATTCGTGACAGGAGCTCTCCTGTTCATTCAGCTCTCCTGGACAGGAGCTCTCGTTCCCCTACTCGGCAGCAGCGTGCAGCTGGACTAACGTAAGGAGGATCAGTGCAGTCACACTGAGGAGCACACACAGGTCAGCTGTAAACATGATTCTCTCTAAGCAATAACAAAAATCACATAAGAAAAACAAAAGGTAGCATAGAGTTTTTCAAAGGAAAGGTAATATTTAACCATTACTTCAATCAGTATTTTATTTGGGAGGATTCAGAGTATACGTGGCAAATAAGTGGAAAAACAGACCACAAACCCAGTCAAGGAAAGCGGGTTTGCTTTCCACCACTTGCATAGGTGGGAACACTACAGCTTGCATCCTGCTAGTAAGTGGTGATGGGCTTGAGGTGTCTGGACTTCCGAACAATGCAAGACATGCTGAGGACTGGGAACATGTATGAAAGCACCCACATTGCAAAATATAAAGCTAACAAGATTCTTCTTCATCTTGAAATTAAAAGTATTACAAAGGTTGATAATCAAACCCCCTTAAGAAAAACCACACTGTCATAAAATACCTTCTTGTGAACAAAAAAGCAGATAAAAGGTAGGAGAGTATTTTCACAATAGAGGGAAATGAAGTGAAAAAGGAAATATCTGGACTGAGATCTGTGTTGTGCAACAGCTTGTGGAGAAAGGGATGAAGGATGAGCTTTTGATTTTCTAAACAAAGGGTTATTTGAAGTTGATAAAAACTACTTGGGCCAGTCAAAACTAAAAGCTGACTCTGAAGACATAGAAAAGGACCTCTGAAAGGACAAAGTATTACCAATGTCTAATTGTGTAAAAAGGAAAAGATATTCTTAGATTTATTGAAGAGGTCCAAAAGATGTGTGGACAAACATATGCAAGAGCTGTAAAAGTATTTTATTCCTTGGTTACATCATGGTAAAGACTAAATTAAGTAAAACAATGAGAAAGATCTGTCATAAGAGGACTTAATAAAAGGGTTTCTGTGGTAAGCAAAAACCACCTTCTTAATAAGATAGTGCAAAAATTTCCCATTTCAAGTTCAGAATAATTTGTCTGCTGCTTCCAAAATAATCTGAAAGGTTTTTAATACTTCCTATTCCTAACAGATATCAGAATAATTTGAAGATATTTTTATGCTTCAAAAAGAGAAATCAGCTTTAAATGTTTAAAAAAGTCACGTAATATGGATGAAGAGGCCTGCGCCTGACTGACTTTAAATGTTCCAATTACTTGGCACTGTCACATAAGCACAATTATGGTTTTGCTTTCCGTTGTCAGCATTTCGTGCTTATTCCAGAACCACTAACCAAAGGGTCTGGAGATCTTCCTAAGAGCTTTTCAGAGAAACAGTGTTCTTTTCTCAGCCTATATAAACTGCACTAAACTCCTATACATCATCTTTTCACAGCTTCCACTTTTAGGTAACTTGGTCTTATCCTAAACATTTTGGTTTAACTAAAGATAACTCGATAACAATAAAGTAACACCATAAACCAGCTTTGCAAAAGAAACAGAAAGGTTTTTTTAAAAATCTAGCCTGTTGAAAATATTTTCAGTACCTAAATCATTGATAAAAACAGTTATACAGCATATTTCACATGCATCATCTTCTACAGACTGTAAACTGGATTAATTCAGCATGTCTTTTTTTTTAAAAAAAAAAACAACAAACCACCACCTAATGATAAATGCACCACTGTTATCATCTCTGCAAGGAAAAAAAACCCTATTCAACAGCCCAGGAACACTCTGCATGGTCAGACGACCTTTAAATATTTTTCCTCTGGAAACACAACACCAAGCAAAAATTTCACATGAAAAATTGTGAAGCACCTGAGACATATCAATTTTAGAATACAATAAAGCACAAATCTATTATTTGTATGCTACCCTAACGGATTCCATGCTTGAAGTTATATTCCTGGAAAAAATCCTTTATATTTAATCTAAAAGGAGTTTTCTAAAATCTTCACTTTTCATTGTAAAAGCTGATTTTCAGCTATAGAAAAGCAGTCCTTATTTTGGCTGTTATACAATTCTGATGTTTGTGACAGAAATACAAGGAAGAACAACTTAGCGGCATAATGTCCTACCAGGAAAAAAAGAAAAGCCACTGTGAGCTCGTAGATCCTGAAAACCCTCGCCTGCCACCAAAAGCCTGGCTCATGCAGAGCTTTCAGCCTCAAACTAAAATATGCTAGTCTCCTGCATTAGCCAAGCACAAGGAAAAAAAAAAAAACCAAAAACAAACACACACACCAACAAAAACCCACAACAAAACACCCACAAAATCACCTTCATTACTCAAAAGTTTTGAAACCCTTGGGTAGTGGCGAATGTGAAACTCGGGCTGTGATGGTGCCACACCACCTTTCTTTCTTGACATCTGATATCTGTCATTCCCTACCCGCTGTGGCCACAGAATGGAAATACTTGCTTCTGAAACACACACGTAGAAACAACACTTGCTTGTGCAAGGTAAGATAAAGGTGACAAAAAAAGTTCTTCATCTTTTTAAAATCAACATGAAAAAATAAATCCTGGTGGATCAAAGAAGAAAAGTACTTTTTAAAAAATCAACAACTTGCATTTAAATCTTTAGGCTGCACTGCAAGGATTGTCATGTCCTTCCCCTGCACTTTTGCAGTGGACAGTTGGGGAAAACATACATCACTTTTTACAATTTTAACACTACAGAGGAAGGAGGAGGGAAAAAAAAAAATAATTACAGCAGTTGACTTAACTACATCATCAACCAAAGAGGAGCCTCTTTGGACACATCCCTTCGAAACCTGCCACAAAACAAAACCTGGTTCACATGCCCGTTTAGAGCTTACATAGCTTTAAAATCATAGTATGATTTTCACTATTGTACACCACTTACAGAAGACAAAACTACACTGATATAACATAAGATGCTGGAATACACTGTTTTCTGTATTAGAGATCTCTAAATGGATATCCTGCCTTAGCACAACAGGGTTTAGATAAATTTGGATAGATCAAATAGCACAAATTTTGCGCAGACGAGGAAGAAGACAGGAGCTGTACAGTAATGAAGAAGTATCCAAGGCCTCTGCCACAGAGGCTTCACAAATTTTGGAAACCACGACTTGAAATGCTGAAGTGCAAGACGCTCTCCAGTGCCTCTGCAGATAGAACGATGTCCGTGGGCTAACAAACAGCACATTAAATCAATACTGACACCGTACAACTGGTTCCTTTTGACCAGTTTATGGTTTCTTACCACTGAAAAGAGCAGAGTGTTGGAAATTTTTCTTGGAAGTCAAAACAAATTGCCTAATAACGCATGCAAGTGCTGTCAAAAAGCTCAAAGGAAGCAGCTCGTTCAGCTTCCTGATGCACAGGGCAGATCAGGCCCACAGGAATCCTGAGGCTGCAATTTTCTTCATTCCAAACAGGCTTCGTTCTCCAAGGTAGTGAGTGGCCTCTAACCACTCGACTATTAAAAGACCTTATGAAGTCTCTCATTGAAAAAGGTTTGTAAATCTTAGCATGACTCTGATAATTGCACAGTCACTGAGGTTCAGAAGGATGCTCAAGTATCTTCCTTGCAGAGTTCCCTACTGTCACAACTAGAAACAGCAATTTAAGATGAAAAAAAAAAACCAAAACAAAAACATCACAAGAAAGAACCACAGAGGCTCTTCTACCAAGATGGCCTTGTAGTTCAGCACTCAGCCTATTCCTGATGCCCAAAGAGCATCTTCCCAAGAGAGCTGCCCCACGGTTTTCAAAGCAGCACCCAGCCAGCCGAGTCTGGAGCTGGAGATGCTGAGCCACCGCTGCAGCTCCCTCAAGCCGGCCCTGTGCAAGTTCAGGAGGACACTGTAGTTGACCGAAGATGAATCAAGTCCTCTTTATCTTATTCTAAAAGAGAACCAGACAAAACACCTAGAGGATCATTACATTTGCTATCAGAAAATAACGTTTGCTTTGAGGGCAAGAGATAGCTGAAGCGTTTTACTCCTATGCCATATTTTTCTTCATTCGCTGTATTTTCCATACTGCTGAACAGAAGCCACTAGTAATTATGACTTCAATTATTTTAATCTTTAAAGGCAAATTACACCACTTATCCCAGTGGAGACATGTTTTTAAATAAAACATGAAAGTAACACAAATAAAAATGGACACAAATCTAATCAAGCAGGTTCAACTCTTAATAAAATTAAGAAAGAACAATCCCATCATCATAAAAACACATGGGTTTGGCGATATTTATAAATATGGATGTTATATAATAAAGAGGTCTTTGCATGTATACTTATTGAGATCCCCATTGATTTAAACAGCTGAAGTTAGGGCAGCGTTTGCTTCGTTCCCAAGACGTATGCACAAAACCCAACCCCGTCCATACCGACCCCCCCAGTTAGCCTCCCCCAACTTATAGCTAAGGTCAAACATCAGTGGAAAAGGGCTAAAAGTGATAAATCTGTGGCATTAACTACTGCACTCCTTTTAATAGAATCCAGCATAAACTCAAAACAGCCTTGTGCTCAGCCTGAACCATTTATCTGAGACAAAAATGTCTTCCTGACAAAAAACAGATCTCCTTTAATAAAAGTAAGGCAGACAGTATTATGCTCTGAGGGAATCCTGTTGCTCTTTTTATATTTATATTTATATTTATATATAAAAAGAATTCTTCTGTAATACTTGTAGATATAAAAAGTGAGGAAAACTGATGCCAAATATATGACCATTAGAACATCAAATTAGCCTTTGTGAAAGCTGTTCTTGTAAATAAAAGCACTGGTGTTAATGACCAGTGGAATTACATATGTAGTTAAAAGTTTTATTATTGAATACACTTTATTCTTTTAGCTTCTTTTTGCTTTAGACCAAAGTTTCACAACAATTCTTGCTCCCGATAAGCATCTTTATTTGGTTCAATTGTTATCAACTCCTTACCAAATGAAAATGAACTTTTGGAACTGCAGCAGTCTGCAGTTTTTTTTCTGAAAATTCCTCTTTAATGCAATAAAAAGTTAATAGGGAACAGAAAAAAGCACCAATCACATTTTAAAACATAAAAAGATCAACATGTTATCTTATTTTTATAAGTTATTTCTAAAATATTTCCTCAAATATTTTCATGTGTTTTGGATGATCTGCGAAAGCAACACAATGATATCTCATCAATCACATTGTTCTATCAAAAACACTAAGAATCAACTTTTGTATTTTTAAATGGCCACATATTTCTCTGTCAACTAAATGTTAGATGTTTAACAGATTTACATTCAGTCACAAAACTGGCGACTTTTGAGAAAGGTCATTATTGCAGACTACACGTGGGTGGCCTAGTTGATGAATTAATTAAGAATACAGAAACAAAGGTCGAAAGAAAATAATTTTTCTTTAAAACTCAAGCCACTAAAGTCTTACACATTTAATTCCAATTACTGAAAAAGAGGACATCTGTACAGCTTTAGTTTTATCCATTTCAACTAATTAACGGATTCAAATAAATAGTCATTACATCTAACTGAAAAGTTTGCTAACACTTCATTAGAAGGAAGTTTAAACAAGCACACAACCTTGTTAACATATTTTGGTTTACCACAAAGTTACTTGGGCATCTCAATAATTATTTTTACTCCCTTCACAAATATATGATGACAGCCAACTTCAATAATTCTGCATTCCATTGCGTTTATTTAATTACTTCATAATTCAAATTTTCTTAAAGTACCACTGATTCTGAAAGTAGGAGCTATCATATAAACAACTGCTGGGTATGAGATTTTACTACAATGTCTACATTCATAAGGTTTATTAAAAATATTTTCCCTACAGATTTAATCCTGCAAGATTCCATTAGAAGCTTTCTTTAGTTGTTAATTGTGTATTTTTCAGCGGTAAGCTAACATTTCAACCTCTGCCATGGTAGCACAGTCATTTCATGAAATGCATTGAGTTCCATTTCACATTCTTTATATTGGATGCCATTGAAATGGCAGATATAATAAAAATTAGTGAAAACCTGAAGGTATAGTTAGTCCTTCTGGCTTATGTCCAAAACACGGTCCTTAATCGTCCTACTAGCAAATAAATCTGTATGTTTGTACACATGCACAGAGCAGCTCGCTGTCTTTAAAACCCACGTCGCTGTGCTCAAAATAAATGGACAAGCACATGCATCATTACTTTGCAAGCCTTTAAATCTAGGTATTATTTTTTATTTCTTTTATATTTAAAAAACTCAACCTGCTCCCCCACTAAAAAAAGTGCTTATTTCTCCTTCAAAAGAACATGTTTGGTTGCCTTAAGTTTACTGTCATCTTCTTCCATTTTCTTTCTCTTTTTAAAGCAGGTTTCTTCCCTTTTATACTATACATAATCTTAAAGATGTATTTGGAAATTAGTTTATTTCATTACAACACTCAAATTCTTAGTTAAGCTGCGCAGGCAGACAGCAATCTTTATTGGCCTGAAGGAGGTGAGGTATTCCTTTTACATTAGGAGTCCACTGACGGGAAGAAAATAACTTCTTTCTGCTTCTAAAACTCCCTCATTTGCGATTAGGCCGACAACCTCCAAAACACACACACACACACACACACACACAAATATACGACACAGCTTCTAGACAAATCTCTGATGAAAGGGATGTAAGGCTTTCAAAGCACTGATTCGACCCAGAATTGCTAGGCACTCCTCATTCTTGGGGTTTCCCAGACACTTTAGGAAGGCGGATGCTTGCAATGGGCATGGCCAGGCAGCAGCATCCCCATCCAGCAGCAATGAAATATTCCAAATCAGGGATCTCCCTCACAGGAGGGAGCAAGAATGCCACTAAGAGTTTCTTTGTACCCACCCAGACCTTGTATTTCCCAACTGGAATCTGAAACGTGGGATGAGAAACCAGTAACTTCAGAGAAATCACTGCCACACAGCATCAAGAACACTGAGACTAAGCTAGGCAAGGCATTTGCTCCGGGCCTGTCCAGCAATTACAGGTGAGGCTGCACTCTGCATTAGGCTCAATCACGCCTCTACTTCAACCAAAGTGTCAGGAATAATGAAATTTGGATGATTACTGTCAGCAGCTCGATTTGCCACAGAAGAGGAAAATAATTTCAGAGATTAATATAATGAGGAAGAATCAGTGTAGCTCAGTCACCCAGGTTTCAAATCAGCACGATGCTTAACTATCAGTTTACGTTCAAGTGCGAGAGCCATCCCATTTAGTTCAGCGAGATTACTCGCATCATTTAAAGGTCAGGCTTGCTAAAACGCTTTCCTGAACTGACACTTCAGTGATGCTGTAAAAACTAGCCAGGACTACCCAGCCAGTACAAATACTTGCCATCTGAACTAGCATGTCACTTCTTGCAGGCTTGCCTGCTTCTGCCAGCACACAAGCACAGGCTCCCTGCCAGGCTCCCTGGGACAAGTCGGTTCACACAACTGAAAAAATCACAAATCTCCCACGTTCAGATGAGGCTCTGTGCACAAACACTTACATTTCCACCTGGCAAAGAAATACAGCTGGAGTGATGGACAAGAGCTCAGCGGGGACTGTGAGCACGCATGATACTCCTTACACCAGGAGGTTCTTTACTGGGACTTTTGTTGAATGACAGGCTTTATTTAGAATATTACAGAATGTATTTATTTTTAAGTAACTTTCTTTTTACTAGATGCACATTTCAGTAAGAAAAGATTGTTAAAAAAGTCTTTTGTGCCACAAAAATCTAACACCACAAACGAAGGATTATTTCTCCTGGAAAAAAATAGAATGTTAGTTTTGAAAGTGAGTCTCAGCACTGAAAATAAATTATTAATTTAATAGCATTTTAAAACTTCAGATCACAAAAATATGAAGGCAAGACACACAATTAGGATATCTAACTTAAAGCCTACTTCCCTAGAGATTCAAGACAAAAATGATTTTACTAGAACTGATGGCTTATTTATGTTACAGCAGCAGTATTTGGACAAGGCAAGCGTTATCATTTTTACAACTACTTTTCCACAGTGCCCTTTAGGCTTGATAGCTCCTTACTATTGTTAAGGTCAGAGGACAAGTTCATAAAACTTCTAAATCATACATAACAAGACTTAAAAACCGAAGATATATCATTTTTTTTCCCCCTAGGCCTATGCAGAAGAATCAAAGCACAGACAATGACCGTCAGAAATAATGACCGCATTAAACGAGGCTTCATGAGAAATTTATGAAGCAAAATTTTTCTTTTCTTTTTTCTTTTTTTTTTTTTTTTTCCTGGCAGTTTTTTTACCAAGAAACAAAAACAAACCCAAATGGTCAAGAGACTTACCTTAAGACCTGACTCTGTAAGATCTTAAGTAATATACATTTTTTTCAATTCTCCTTTTTTTTTTCTTTTAATTTTGCAGGAAAAGGCCTCTAATGTTATATTAACAATGCCCTTTCAATGTAATGTCACTTGGCTAAGTGCTTCTGAACTAATTCTCAGGAACAACCCCAGCTCAAACTGCATACAGGTTTTCTGTTTAATGTTTGTTTTCAAGTAAAACATTTTATTTTCTTGTCAGGTAAGGAAAGAAAATAACTTGACTACTCGTGTGTCATCAATACGTTACCAACTTACCTGCAATAAGCATCATAAAGGGAAAACAAGAAAAAAGAAATAGTTTTCTTCTGTTTTAAATTCAATAAACGTGAACATTGGGGAAGAAATTTTACAAAATAGTTACAGAATAATGAAGTCTGTAGGAGTCCTGCAGAAACACCGATTCCAGGACCAGACACTTAAAAATGAGATGATTGGTAGAAACAAACAAAAAAGACAGGGATACCTTTCTCCATCATAAAGACAGTACATGACACCAATTTAAACTCTGGGTGATAACGGTGTGGATTTTTCAATATTTAGCTTGATGCACTGTACTGTGTGTTATTAGTAAAATACTACATATACCTCACAAAACAGCATCATGCTTCATTTCATTTTAGTTTTGAAATTTATGTAAAATTATAAGCTTTTGTACTTAAAATCCAACTGCACTCATCATCTTTTTTAAACTGAAATTCCACATTTCACCGTATTTCTAGACAATCACATTTTCCATCACTTTATATATTAATAAATATAATCAGACTACATATACATTTCGACTGATCAGCATAAATCAATGTCAATTATGCACAAGTGTTAGAGAGACAAAATGTGACACTTCACACTTGACGTTGTCAAAGTGTCACATAAATACGTTCTAAGGGCAATATATATTTTGGTTTAATTTCAAATAGGACTTTATCACAGCTCTGTGTGTCTGTAAAAGTTTTTGACCTAACAAAAACCTCATCTATTTTTTCCTTTGCAAAAACATAAAATATATTTTCCTGAGATTTTCATGAAAATTAATAGATATTCTGTTTCTGTGCAAACTGTATTACCTGTCCTTCTGCAACTGTGTCTGTATCAATGATAGTGATGATTCCAGGCACCAGAGGACTTCGACGAATGTTGCTATGAGCTAAAATTTCTTCTTCGGTTGCTCCTGAAGGCAGAGTTCCTGTCAGCTGTGTAACTACTTTCCCAACCATTGTAAGTCCAGTCTTTATCGTCTATAAAAAGAAAGAGAACCAATAAATTATGTCTAAGGCTGTTTTGTGGATCTATCTTGAATTTTTTCTCAACACAATTAATACAGCTAGATTGTGCCTACCAGAAACACACAAAACAAATGTTTTTATAAGTGATACATAAGCTGCAAAAGGCTGCCTGTAACAGAAGTACCTTGAAAAAATTTAGCAACCTACCGATTTGAAATATTCACCTTTATTTTGGAATCAAATGCTTCCAAACCGTTCCTGAAAAACTAAATATTTTAACATTGTCTAAATGTTACAGTTTTGTCCTTTAACTTTGTTCTTTATTTATTCCAAGAGGCACAGAGCGTGGATAGTTAGAAAAAAAAAATCAAACGATGAAGTCAAGATGGGTGCGTGTGGAGAGCAGCATTACAGAGAGAAATACTTAGAGCCCCTAATGGTTAACGCTGCAATAGTTGTGTCTTCTGCACAAGTGCAAGAGACAAGTTTGGCCTTAGATACGACAAACACATTCGTTTCTCAGCAATTATGCCTTTTGCAGCATTAAAGCTGACCACGAAGATTCAAACCCAGCAAAATTAAAAACACCATCCTCAAGGTACTAGAAAGGACAGCTCTGTACAAAGAACACGCATACCCCATCACAAATAACGTGACTTTCCAGAGTCTGCATGTTTTCCAGACGTGGGTTTGAAAGCGGATTCATTGTACCAGCTTTTATCATCTAAAGATGCTGAAGACTGTTTTTACGTTGTTTTATTTTATTTGGGGAAAGAGGGAGAGTATACACAGTAGGAGAGATATAGATTTAAAGAAATACAACTTTAAGTATCTTCTTTCTCCTTGAATCAAGGACTGTGCTCTTATTTGCCTACAAAGAATTGAGCAGATTTATTATGCAATATAAATAAGAAATAGCAAAAGAGATCAGAATGAAATGACACTGTAACAAGCCAATTCTTAACTAAAAAGACAAGCTAAGCTGCCTGCTAAATTGAAAAGGAAAAAAAAAAATGCACAGATCACAGGCTGAAACCAAGAAGCAGCCACAAATCAATTGCAACTGCTTTGTTTAGTGCTAAAATCTCAAACTGCAGTGATTAGAAAACACATTAGTGTTCATCAATTAGCAGCCAAACGTTTGTTTTAATAATTCATAGGAAATGACTTACACAAAGTCTGTTAGTGTGTTGTCAGGAAAACCTCTGAAGGGCCAACAGAATTAGGCGCCACACTGTATTGATGGCAATATCCAGCCAGGAAGCCTGATTAACCTCTGAGATGCCTCAGCTGATGTACTTACCCCATTAATGCTAATGGAGATACTACCACTTAAAATCGAGCCATGCCTTTATCATAGGAATGTCTTTGGGGTTTAAAGTCTTTAGTAATATCCTGCCATTTGTTTCTTATTATTTCTTTTTATACTCAGATACAACAACTGAGAATAAAACAAATTTTAACAGTGGACAAATTCAGAAGACTGAAAAACGTAACATAAAGCAGACAATGACATCCAAGGAATAGACCTAAAACAGACCCAATGCCATCACAAGAGTGCATTTCAACAGACACTTTCCTTACAAAAACTGACAAGGCAGTTTTCTGGCCAATAGTTAAAATCATATAAAATGCACGGGTAGTTTATACAGCAGGAAAGAGAAACGAGTAGAGAAATAGTATGTGGTAAAATACCTATGCAAGTTAAAAGACCAAAAATTTTAATTCACATATTTTAGAAAATATCTTTAATGTTATCTTTAGAGAAATTGGGTGACAAAGTGCCAAGTATAAATTTATAGCTCTCTAGGAAAAAAAATTAGCATGCTTATCTAGCAAAATGAATCCCCATTACATGTTAGAGTAGACCGTGACTGCAAGACTACCGAGAAGTAATAGGTGTACAAAGACATGGCCGAGGCCATTAGCCCAGAAATATCAGTGCAAAACCATTATGGCACTTACTTCTTTGTGCTATGTGTATATTTGCAAAAAACTTCTCTGGTAATCTTTAACCTTTCCCATGCCATATCAGCTGTCCCCTCCATCCATTAGAGCTAATGACCTTGCTCTCACATAAGCTGTTAGTACTCATTAAGAAGTTATCAGGTAACAAGAGAAAACAGATGCAGCCTGTGCTAAATCACTTTACCACTATAGGATTAAAAGATATGGAGAAAGAATCAACTAAAGAAGTTATGAGGTGAGAAGAACTTGGTTTATAATTTGATGTTAGACATTTGACAGGCCAAATATATTTTAAATGAAATAAGTTAAAGTTTGCACTGTCCCAGTTCCTTTGTCATTGATGGGAACCTGCCAGTGCACACTCAGTGAAATTTTTGTATAAATTAAATTAAAATCCTTGATCTAGTTCCTTTTGTAAGCAGTGATGCACACTGTGCAAACACACACACTATTTGTACGCTCACGTGTACCCTATCTACTTAAAAAGAAGACAGTTCATATTCACTCAAAAATAAGACAGACATATATTTAATTAAAATAAATGTATGCACTCATACCTCATTTAATTGAAAAATAAGTACAACTTTAATCAGATGAGAAAATTAAAATGCATCTTTCAGTGCCTGTTAGACTGTTTTGTTCCAACAAAGGTCTTGCATTCTTTTAGTGACAAAACAGTACGTTGTTCCTGTTTCTCATAATAAATATATTTCACATGATTTATTTGTTTACAAATGAAAAATCTATAGAAAGCAGAAAGAGAGATCAAAAAGATAGGCCTTGGTAATCAACAATAAGAAAGCCTCATGGTTAGTTTGAGCAAAATGAACATACAATCAATTATAGATTTAAGTTCAAACTAAGTGTTTGTTGAAATGCTCATGCTTCACAAAGATGTTTCCCTTTCCTGCTCTTGCTGCATAATCTGAAAAGACGACGGGGAAGAAACCGATAAGGAAATTCATCTGAAACAGCAAGGCAAGTCTGACCGTTGGGGATACATCAGGATGGGGAAGGTCTGCGTGAGCACCACTTGAGCAGAAGGAGCTGAAATGGGACTCGCTCAGGGGCATGGGGGGACCAAACCTCTTCAACAAGACAGGAAAAGAACACAGCATGGGGGCCTAAGATTGTCTTTTCCTATGTCCCCTCCCTTGCCACATCCAAAATTAATAAATACGGATAATTGTAACAAGCAATTTCACATTGGGATGCTCATCTCAAACCCAGCACCTGAATATTCTCCCATCACTAATACTGTTAAGTAATAATCGGGTTTATTCTGAAAGATATTCTACATCCATTCTACTGCGTGTGTTCGACTGCAGTGAAAAGAATCTTTATCCCACAAGGAACAACATTTGCATTTTCCCAAATGCATCAATTTTTATCTTTGCTAAACATTAACGTAAATTGGAATCTTGACACATTTTATATTTCCTGAAATTTTCTACTTGGTCAGATTACAAGAACTATCAGAGCTTTTTAGAACGTAAACAGACAGAAAGCCAAACAAACGTGGGGAAATCAAAATAAGAGATTGAGCTGGAAAAAAATGCATGTGCTTATCCAGCAACAACAGAAAGCAATGCTCCTGCAAGATGCATCTACGGACAAACAGGAAAAAGTTCAGTGTTCAAAATAAAATCCTTCTAGAAATTATAAAATCAAACAGGAAGATGACATAAAGGAATTCTTCATACTGTTACCAAAATAACGCGACTTTTGGCATCCGTAACCACCACACTCCAATATGACCACAATTTTGACTTTGGTATTCTCGGCTAACAGGGGAGCTTCTGACTCCTAAGTTATTTGATTAAGGAGGAAATTTATTTGCTGCATCACATAGAGTACACAGCAGTATATCACAGTGAGGACAAACCCACCGTTCACTACCAGGACATTCAAAAACATTTCTCACCAAAGGAAATACTGTTAGAGTAAATATTCTGTACCACCACTGAGACCTTCTGCAGAGGATCTGAGGTAATTCTCAAAAGCGACCCTGCTGAAATGATTCTTTGCTCTCAGCTTTATCTTTCTCCTTTATATGAAGGTTCTTTCATTTCCTTCAGTAAGAAATGGGGTTCCAAACAGAGAAAAGGCTGTAACCCAAGACAATCTGACACAACAGGAACTTTTAAGAAACCACTTCTGAACCAAAAAGCAGCACTGTCCAACAAGAAAGTCAGCATTTCAGTTATCACAGATGAAAACTTGCTAGACAGTAAGCCAAGAATCGATGAAATCGGTGATAAATCAGATTGAGTGTTGCGCACTCAGACATAAATAACAAGTTAATACAGTAAGGCCGAGATACACTCAAGGGCCAAATCATGCAAATATTTAAAAATATATTAGATGTTACTGTGACAGGCAAGTTTCATACTAACAGCCAGTCGAGGGCAAAAGCAATGTGCTATGTGAAATACAAATTAATATCAAGCTTGTGCCCTTATGATTAACCTTTTGCCTTTGGTCCTTACTGGCTTTAAAACCATGTCTCTGAGGGTAAGGGCTATAAAAGGTCCTCCTTTTTTAGATTTTTTTTATTTTTTTAGTTTGCTGAAAATAATGAAACAGAATAGTGCTTAGTCTTCAATGCCTACAGGAATGCTGTGACGATCATTACATGGGTTAAGAAAGCTTTGGCCTGCTGTTCTTCACTGATGCGTAGGCTTGGCTTTGGCAGCACAGTGACCCAGTTCTAATATTTTACCCCAGATCAAAACTGTGGCTGATCATGCTAAGCCAGTGGAGTTTTTAAAACTATCTGTGCTGTAAAAAAAAAAGCACATTAATGATGTTGAGATTGAAGGAGTATGGGGAGATTTTCTCTCATATTTACTACTTTTGCTGATGGTGAAAGCATGCAGACAGCAGATTTCAGATGTCCTCAGAACAGCAATTCAAGTTCTCCTCAACGTAAAAAACTGTGATTTTTCTCCTCCTCCAGCCACAGTGAGATCGTATCCAAAGCTATGCTGATGGAATATGTGTTTTTGTTTTGTTTTTACATGAGATGGCATGCCCTGTGTCTGTCTGTGGGTTCTTGTAACTGTTGTTTTCTTCAGTGACGCTGAGATTTCTGTTCTGTGCTGTCATTTAATTCCTATTATTAGATTTGTTTTGTTGTGCGTATCAAAAATGAAAAGGCTAGTGGTTACAGTGAAACCTTGTAATCAGCACGAAGTCTGCCAGACAATGCCAAAGCTCACTCTGTGTGTGTGTGTGTGTGAGAAAAAGAAATTACTTGGCAAAATATTCAAGCAAGTCCTCAAGGAAAGGAGTGGGGTAGGGGAGTAGTAAAACAACAGTTCTGCATACTCTTTGGCTCATTTAAGATTTTTCCAAGCCATGGTCGTCTTTTGATACTATGAAAACGCAGACATTTCTTTGAAAACAGGGGGATATTATAATGTCATCTGAACTGAGGAAAGCGGGCAATGGAACCTGTATGTAAACAGTCATTAATAAACTCCAACCTTCAAAGAAAGCTGCCAGGTAATTAACTGCGCTGTCATCCTTCAGAGAGATTAAAACACATAATGCTAACGTGATTGAGTCCAAAAAGAACCAAGCACTTGTAAAGTCAGTTTTCACGATGCTAAAAGAGTAATAATTCACAGAGTTGATTTCTAATCACGTAAACTTGTAATATTATGAATAGCCATTATACAAATCCATTTTACTATGTGTTTCCTGTAACAGAGGTCACTAATATGAACAGCTGTTTGTAATAAATAAATTTTTTTTAAACAAAATCAGTTCAGAGGGACAGAATTACTGTGTGAAAAACAAAGGCCACTCAGATTTGCAGGATCAGGACTGTACGCAGGGCGCTAGCACATTTCTCACTGGGTTTTCCTCTTTTGTGAATGGGGAGGGTGGGGTGG